GTCTATGTGAAATGATCATTGGTCAATTATGAAACCAGCCTATTTCTTTTCAATAGGAGGGTTGCCATTCGCAAAAATTTTGCGCAATTTTTGCGGAACTAAACGCAAAATTTTTCTTTCTTTACGCATCAGTTTTGCGCGAAAAAACAACAATTTGCGCAATCATTCGCAAAAGTCATTTCGCGCAAAATTGCCCTATTCCGCTTTTGCGAAACTCAAGTTTTGCGCAATTCCGCAACTAGAGTTTTGCGCAATTCCGCAATTTCGTAAAAATAAAACGGTTGGTGACGGTGTGTGTTTCTTAGAATTCAATTCTGGGAAAATCTTGTTTTGGAATATCTTCCCATTGGTCACTTTTACATAATTGACCAATGACAGTTAAGAAGAGTTTACATCTCACAATTAGGGTTTCCACGAAATGGCTAAATCTTTTGCGCAAAATTTGCGCTATTTTCGCGCAAATTTTATTTTTGCGAACTTTTGCGCTATTTTTGCGCATGAAACGCAATGAGTTTTGCGCGGTTTTGCGCTATTTATTTTGCGCAATTTGCGCAAAACCGGAAATATTTTTTGCGAAAGTTGCGCATGAAACGAAATTTTAGTTTTGCGCAATTATTTTTGCGCAATTTGCGCAAAACCGCAAGTTTTACGCAATATGTAACTTTTTAGGCACATTGTCAAAAATTGATTTTCTAAGCTTAGAATTAAACAACTGAAGATTTATTCCATATACAAAAAAAAATATTAACATACGAGTATGATAACGATTATACTACACTACATTGGTTACTTCCAGTTACAAAAAGTTTAAATTATAAGGGACCAAAATTAATAAAATAGAAATTAGAGAGTGTGAAACTTGGCAATATTTTAATCCTATTAAATAATTTCAAGTGACCCGGCCTTAAAAGCTTTGCTTAATCTGCAAGTATGAATTGTATTCTTAAATTTCTTTAATCAAATTTCTGAAATCTTTTTAATCTCGTATAAAATAATGCAAGAAAGTAACCAATGCCTGAAGAATCCACTTTTAGGAAATATGCATGTCCAAAACTAAAATTGTCGAGAAAATTGTGAGATTTTAACTCTTCTTAACTGTCATTGGTCAATTATGTAAAAGTGACCAATAGGAAGACATTCCAAAACAAGATTTTTCCAGAATTGAATTCTAAGAAACACACACCGTCACCAACCGTTTGATTTTTACGAAATTGCGGAATTGCGGATTTGCGCAAAACTCTTGTTGCGGAATTGCGCAAAATTTGAGTTTCGCAAAAGCGGAATAGGGCAATTTTGCGCGAAATGACTTTTGCGAATGATTGCGCAAATTGTTGTTTTTTCGCGCAAAATTGATGCGCAAAGAAAGAAAAATATTGCGTTTCGTTCCGCAAAAATTACGCAAAAGTTTTGCGAATGGAAACCCTACTCACAATTTTCTCGACAATTTTAGTTTTGGACATGCATATTTCCTAAAAGTGGATTCTTCAGGCATTGGTTACTTTCTTGCATTATTTTATATGAGATTAAAAAGATTTCAGAAATTTGATTATAAAATTTAAGAATATAATTCATACTTCATTAGGCAAAGCTTTTAAGGGTCTGCACTTGAAATTATTTAATAGGATTAAAATATTGCGAAGTTTCACACTCTCTAATTTCTATTTTATTAATTTTAGTCCCTTAATTTAAACTTTTTTGTAACTGGAAGTAACCCAATTGAGTGTAGTATAATCGTTATCATACTGGTATGTTAATATTTTTTTTTATGTATGGAATAAATCTTCAGTTGTTTAATTCTAAGCTTAGCATATCTATTTTTGACAATTTGCCTAAAAAGTTACATTTTGCGTAAAACTTAAAAAAATTGCGCAAAATTAAAATTTCGTTTCATGCGCAACTTTCGCAAAAATAGCGCAAAACCGCGCAAAACTCATTGCGTTTCATGCGCAAAAATAGCGCAAAAGTTCGCAAAAAAATATTTGCGCAAAAATAGCGCAAATTTTTCGCAAAAGATTTAGCCATTTCGTGGAAACCCTACTTTTAATATCAATTTTAGATTTTCTATAAAATGATGTTCCAGGGCCCAAAAGTTTATATAACACAAATATGTGAAGTACACCTGCAGTATGGAAACAGTACAACAAAATGGCCGTTTTACACTTTTTTCTAGTAAATTCTACTCTAATACATATTCTATTCTCTCTTCTTGCATATCAATCTTTTATTTTCTTTCAACTCTTATTTTCATCTGTGCATTCTCTGCGAAAGTGACTTGCGAATTTCTTGTTTATAAGAAGCGAAGGAGAAACTCACAGAAATAAACACTTCTTAAGTAAAAAACGACCGTATCTTACATATTTTGATCTGGGTTCAATGGTATCTTTGTAATCGGGCATTGTGATCTTGCATGGAAGGTCACTTGAAATTAAGCTCACTGTCCCTTTAGCGAGCAATTGTTTTCTATCACACATGTTTAACGATCAATCATCATTGACAACCAACAAAATTTTGGTATGAAACCATGCAATTGAAAATAATATGTTTTCAAAAGTACAAACACTGATAAGCATTATGGTTTTTCATCTTCATCTGCGATATTTCTGCAATTTTCTTTTTTTGTGAAATGCGAGTCTTGAACCCGTGACAATCATGGTGTGGACATCAAATCGCTTTCTGGCCGTTGGAAAGATTGCTTAACATGAATCTGCGAACTAAAAGGAACTGATCTGATACGTTAACGTACGTATACCACCCTACCCCACAATAATTAAACGATTTTTAAATTTTCCAATTTTTGCAATTTTTTTTAAAAACTTTAATAACATATCTAAGTTAGATTTAAAAACAAATATATTTCCACAATGACAACCTCATGTGCAATTTTAATTCTAATTTTTTTTCTTATATTTTCTTTAAAAAAATTATCTACAGAATCCCCCCCTTCATTGCATTCAGGTCCATAGAGATTGGGTTCAGACCTAAACCTAAACTTTCACTCCAGCAGTTATATAAGTAAATATAATGTATAATAGATATCCCCCGATATTTTGTCTGAGTAATATCTGTGTGTAATTTGTGATATCAAATGTTGAATAGCGTAAACTTTGTGTAAATCATGAGGATTGAGGAGAATGTAAATCCCTGATAATGCTTTCACTTCGGTAGAGCTTTCTCTCCGGAGTGCCTAGTTCTGATATTGTTTCTCAATCCTGCCAGCTGGGAAACTTTTCCCTTTCCCTTGAGAGTTCCCGCATTTTTTTAATCTTAAAATTTTTGGTAAAATGAAGAGTGGAAATTTTTTTTTAATATGTTCCAGTAAAAATCGGATTTAATGTTAAAACTAAAATAATTACCCTTATCGATAGTAACTTTAACTCCATGTCGCATTTTTCGGGTATTTGCATAATTCACTTTAGGCAAAGAAAAATTTATATCACAGTTATTGCAATTTTGCAAAAAAAATATTTTGTTGTTGTAAAACCTCATATTATATACAATAATTATAGAAAACTTTTAAGAAATACACAGTTTCTGTTTGTACTTAATTTCTTTAAATTTTTTTACATACATTTTTCCTGGATATTTCCGTCACTTAAACGGCAATTTTGTTTTAAACGGAAAAGTTAATTTTTCATTCTCTTAAAGTTTTTCTTTCTTTCTCCGTCCCAATCTCTAGCTCTAAACCTGACCCGGCCTGCATTCAGGGTTGACCTGACCCGGCCGTTTCTCCGGCCCAGGCCGCCACCATGGCTCCGGCTCTGGAGCTCTGGCGCTGTTTTTCTCTCCTGACACCTAGACTAGCTAACAGGAAGAAAATTTGAATTCTCTCGAAAGGGAAAATGCAACAAAACTTCGTTGACAGAGACACATCAGGGGGTGGTATAATTTAGTAGATTTTAGATATTTTATTATTATTTTATGACACATCCAAAGTGATCTTATTTTATAGTTTTCTTTGATAATCAGATAAAAACATGAATTTTTTGTTCACTTTAAAGTTTAATTGTATGCAATTGGCGAAGAATTAATGAAAATTGATTGATAGATTAAAAAAAATTGGCAAATTCTTTCCCCCGATTTATTGATGAATAATTGAATATATATATACATATATATATAGATGTAAATTGTAAATTTATTAATATTGTGATTTTAACCAGAACAGATGTATTCCTTTTTTCATTTCATATCAGATGTTGTTGACTTACTGTCTACTGAATATCCGGTTGGTAAGGTTAGTTTTTTTATTGTTTGAGTATAATACACATTTTTCTTGCCCCAGCCCCTAAAATGTAAGGGGGGAGCACAAAATAAATTTCCCTCTTTCCCCCTCTAGGAAAATGCCTTAGGGTTTGAGATGCATGTTCATAGCCCAATTTTTCTTGTCCAGCTCAAAGAAAAAAAAATAGACCGATAACTTTAATAGTTTGGGTGCTAGGGAGGGTGGAAAAAAATTCCTAAGAAAGGGTAAAAAAAATGGAAAATTATATTTTTTGTTTTAAACAAATATCAAAGTGTGACAAATGTTTTAACATGCATTTTTCAAGGGCTGGGCTTTTCAAAAATATAATTTTTAGATCTGTAGCTTTGGTCACAAACAAGTTATGGGCTATTTTAGTTTTTTTTCACAGACCAGACTTTTTCCGCCCTGTACCCTACCCTATAAATTGAAAAAAAATGTTAACAAAAAATTCTTTAAATTACTATTAATTATAAGTCAAAAAATTTCACGGTGATAGTGTCAAAAATGAGAGTGATAGGACAAAAAAACTAAAGGGGGGGCCAACCCCCCTGCCCTCCCAGCGTGTTTGGTTTAATCTATTTTATTATATTATATATTGATAAATTGTTGTTGATCAAAGCCTATCAATTTTTTTCCTGCGTGCATTTTTTGCTCGGAATTGCGTAAATTTACCTCTTGGAATTTGTGCAATTTTGATTTAAAATTTAAACGTTTATTTAAAGTTCTATTTTTTTCTCCTTGAAACAATTTAATTGTCTAAACTAACTAAAGTATTTATTAATTCATTAAACATGATAAATGTTATAGAAAAACATAAAAAATGAGAAATGACATTAAATTGTTAACTAATCTAACACTAGCTGATGATGTTGTATAGTGCCAGTGGGGCCTCCACGTAGCATCATAGGTCTTAAAAGATATATAAAAATAAAATTCAAAAATAAATGCAGTATAAATTCAATATTATTATACACGGACTAATATTCCTGAATTTAGGTTTTTAGTAATTTAAATATTTTTTTGTGAATTAAGGTTTCTTTTTGAAAAATGTTTATTAGAGATAAGAAGGGGAATTGAAAATAAAATAAATCCAATATTTGGAAAAAATATTTGGATAATATTTAATATATGGATAAAATATTTGGATAATATTTAATATATGAATAAAATATTTGGATAATATTTAATATATGGAAACAATATATGGAAAACTTTTTTGGATAATATTTAATATATGGATACATATTTGGATAATATATAATATATGAATAAAATATTTGGATAATATTTAATATATGGAAACAATATATGGAAAACTTTTTTGGATAATATTTAATATATGGATGAAATATTTGGATAATATTTAATATATCGATACAATATTTGGATAATATTTAATATATGGATACAATATTTGGATAAGATATTTGGATAATATTTAATATATGGATAAAATAATTGGATACTATTTAATATATGAATACAAAATTTGGATAAAATATTTTGAATAATATTTAAAATATGGATAAAATATTTGGATAATATTTAATATATGGATAAACTATATGGATAATATTTAATATATGGATAAAATATTTGGATAATATTTAATATATGGATAAAATATTTGGATAATATTTAATATATGGATAAAACATTTGGATAAAATATTTGGATAAGATTTAATATATGTATAAAATATTTGGATAATATTTAATATATGGATACAATATTCGGATAATATTTAATTTATGGATAAAATATTTGGATAATATTTAATATATGGATACAATATTTGGATAATATTTAATATATGGATACAATATTTGGATAATATTTAATATATGAATAAAATATTTGGATTATATTTAATATATGGGTACAATATTTGGATAATATTTAATATATGGATAAAATATTTGGATATTACTTAATATATGAATAAAATATTTGGATAATGTTTAATATATGGATACAATATTTGGATAATATTTAATATATGGATAAAATATTTGGATAATATCTAATATATGGATAAAATATTTGGATAATATTTAATATATGGGTACAATATTTGGATAATATTTAATATATGGATAAAATATTTGGATAATATTTAATATATGGATACAATATTTGGATAATATTTAATATATGGATACAATATTTGGATAATATTTAATATATGGATACAATATTTGGATAATATTTAACATATGGATACAATATTTGGATAATATTTAATATATTGATACAATATTTGGATAATATTTAATATGTGGATATAACTCCTGTGAAAAATTAAGAAGATTGTGAAACTTAAGTTAATTATGATGTAAAACAGTCCATTGGACAAGTATGATGAAACACAACAAGTGTTTAGTACGAACCAGAATACTCTGGAATAAGAAGACGACTTTTAGGTTTTAAGTCATATTACGACTTAAAATATTCTAATGAACATGAGCCACATCAATTGTGCAGTGTAAACAGACCCATTTAATTGAGTAAGTTATTTATTAAGTTAGTACAATTTTTGGGGTTGCAACAACAACAAAAACACTTAAGTATTGCTATGATGTCGTCTTAATATTCCAAAGTTATCTGGTTCTCTCTGTACAAATATGCATTCCTATAAGAATAAGTAAGTTTACAAGCTGCTGCCATGAAATACTAATAAGGTTGCTAATTTGCCGTACTTTTATTCCGCAGTATTATGGATCCTGTGCATAGTAAAAGCTTGCCTGATATGATATTGAGGTGTTTGACAATGGCAAAGCCAGGTACTTCTGATGAATCATATGAATATTTGCATCATTATATTTGACCTAAAAGTAATAAATATGGTTGAAGTCGAATTGTAAATGAAATATTTTAAAATTTGAACGAAAAATAAATTCTTACAAAAGCGCCAGAAAAGAAAGCCGGACCTGTACGCGAGGGTACACCGTTAGGGTTATTCTGTACAAAAGTAATGTTCAAACAAAAGATGACAACGACTTTCACAGGGAAAATAAATAAACGTTTAAAGAAACAAACATTGATATCTAATTTATACTTGATCAAATAAAGGTTTCAATGGTATTGTTGTAAAAGATAAACTTTTTTATTATGGGAATATTTCAATCATTTTCAAAACGTAAAATTTGCGAAAGGTTCTGGTAAAAAACTCTACTCGTTTACAATCTACACCTCTTTATAGTATTTACTTTGAATACTTTTTTCTTTGGCAATTTATTATAAATATTAAGGTATACGTAAATTTTAGTTTGTAATATTTAAAATATCAAAAACGAAAAATTTACATTTAATGGGTGAAAATGGAGTCTAAAATTAGGATTTACTGGACGTTTAACCAGGACTTCTGGTTTACCGTGATATATATCAGTTCAGATTGGACTTCTGTGTTACTTACGTAGTCGCGGTATAACCAGTAAATTCTTGTAACGGCTTGGATTAAACTAATACAAGAGATGGGCGCGTTCGGCTTTAAAATTTTTTTTTATTGTTTGTGAACGACCATTTCGTTCGTGTTTTTCAATCAAAGTTAACGTTCATTTTCCATTAAATTCATTCTTTTTTTCACTGAACGATTTTTCTGAAAAACCATTCGTTATTTAAAATTGTTCTTTCATTAAAAACAAAAATTATAGTTTTTTTAAAGGTTTATTCGAAAAATATTTTGGAAAGTTTGTTCAATTAGTAAACAAAAGATAATTTTTTAAGTTCATTCAAACGAACGATTCATTCATTTTTAAAAACGATCGTTTTTTTCATTTCTCTGAACAATCCAAGTTGTTTATCCATCATTAGTTTTTTTTCTGAACAACACCCTCGTTCAAGGAAAATTTCCGTCATTTTGAAACATTTTGTTCGTTCACAAAAATGATTCCCATCTCTAATCAATACAGGACTGTTGAATAATGGAAAAAGTAAAAAATACTGAACATTTTCCTGTTTGATGTTCCACCGTAAAGCTTTCATTACATACTCTAGATACTTGGATCCCTAAAATAAATTTCCAAAACTACCTATTCGAATTAAACACACATTTTTAATTATAAATAATAATATTTCAAAGTTTGAAAGCTGTTTTTTAAGAAAAGAAGAAATTTACTTTCCAGATCTCGCCCAACATTTATTTCATCTTAATTTCTGAAAACTGCTTTGGACATCAAATATTCTGGATTTTAAGATTACGTGAAGTCAGCAAACTGTGTTCACATTGTACGCTTTTATGGTTTTATGAAAATGTTAAATTATGAAAAAAGATTTGAAATACAAAAACATAAGAACTTTGTGTCTCTATAAAGCTTTTTTAAGTTACCTTGGGAAATCCGAATACAGAGTTTTGAATATTATTCCATCCTTTGAACAGAAAATAAAATTAGCATCTTTCAACAAATTAGATTGAAAAAAAATCATTACTATTTAACTCAAAATAAAAAAAAATTATGAAAAAGTCTTTTACATCAAAAAGAATAAAGTAAAGTTTGTTTTTGTTATCGAGCTTTCTATGCCATTTCTTGCAAATCATTTGGTATTTTTAACTTTAACTAAAAATATTTTTTTTCGATTTTGGCAAATTTTGGTTCAAATTTCGTAAAAATCTAGAAATAGTATATCTAAAATTTACCCAAAAATATTATTGTTTTCAAAAAAAAATTAATTTTTTTTTCCAATTTATCAAATATTTTAGCAAAAATCCTGGAAAAGTTGAGAACCGCTACATGCTATAACAAAGTCTCAAAACGTATCTATCCAGGTACAATCCGTGTGCTATCAAACTTAACCAGGACTGAATCCCAGGCCCTAAATGCCACACAAGGGCACAAAAGTAGCTATCAAAATCCAGCTACTAATACAGTGCTCTGCCAGAACAGAATCCCAGGCTCTAAAGGCCAAACAGGGCCCAAGCGCAGCTATCAACAAGCTACATAAATATTGATCCCAAATAATAGGGATGATCCAATTTGAAGTCAAACCTTACAGCAATCCAACGTATAGAAACTGCTACGAATAGCAACATGGCGTATTTTCCGAGAGAACATTTTTTATATTTTTGAGAAATTAAATAATCAGTGTAAATTAGATATAATTTTCTTAAAATCCTTTTATTTAAATGGTAAAATGGAATTTTATGAAATCATATTTGCATTACTAAAGAACTTTATTTTTACACTCTTAACCCTATTCCTGCTGGGGGGGGTCAATTTGACACCCCCCTGTAGTTTTTTTTATCTAACTCAAAAAATATTGGTCTGAGGCTGTTGAAATTTTCTGACTTTTCCTACATACCCAAAGCTCTCCATTTAGGCCTAAAACCGGCCTTTAATACTAACTGCCTGAGTCCTTAGGCACACTGCCTGAATGACTGCCTTTTCCTGTAACAAACTAAATCTTTGTTTAGACCCACTTCCACTTGTCAGATTTTGATAAGATTTAGCTTTTTGGAAAGCCTTTGACATAAGGAAACAAATTGCACAAGTTTTGCGAAAATAAATTGCAAATTTTTTGCAAACAACCTGTCAAAGGAAATTTGCACATTTTTAGTTTTTCATGATTAAAAATTCGGTTATTTAAAATTTTGCAAAAATTTTTGCATATTTGAAATGGCATGGTCAAGGGCTTTTCAAAAATGTATAATTTTTCATTTTTTGGACAAATTTTTTTTGCAAACATTTTTACTATATTACTGGATTTTGCTATAAAAATTTCAATTTTTGCAAATTTGCAAATTTTTTTGCAGATTCTAAAAGTAGAGCACAAGAGCTTTCCAATGATGTATCATTTGTCATATTTGGATACCAAACATGGGATTTAGAGGGGGGGGGGGGGTCAATTTGCCCCCCCCCCCCCCGGCTTTCCTGTTTTTCAAGTACCCCAGCAGAGATAGGGTTAAGAATATTTTTTTTCTAAAAATAAAACTGTAGATAGCATATTTATAAAATATTTATTTTAATAGTAACACACAATTTTATGTATAACCATATAATCATTCATTTATGTTGTCAGTACATAATAAAATCTGGGGGAACTTAAACACAATAGAGAGTAGTACAAATGTATTTTGCTCCTTTAATGTCTAGGGTATGTTAAAAAAATAGAAATTATGATAATGATAATGATAAGCTACAATGTTTTACAAAAAACATCTAATTTCTCAAAAATATAAAAAATGTTCTTCCGCAAAATACGCCTTGTTGCTATACGTAGCTGTTTCTATAAAATGGATTTCTATAAGGTTTGACTTCATCCAATTTGATCAATGTCTTAACCAGGACAAGATCCATGAGGCTACAATACCGTGAATAATCAATACACCTATATACAGGCCCCGATATCATTAGTTATTGATGTCAATACAGACACTAAAAATCAATTGATAAATGTCTCAACCAGGACACAATCCACACGGCTACAATCCTATAACTAATCAACCCCACTATACAGGGCCCGATATTGTTAGCTATGGATGACAATACAGACACTAGCAATCAATAGATCAATACCAATACTCAAGGTTTGGTGTACACTCGTATGTTTCAACGAGAACAAAATTACTTCTAATACCGTAATTAAAGCAGAGTCTCAATCAACTAACTTTATTTAATATCTTATGTCACAAATTTAACAGAAATTGATGTAGTTACAATTCCTACAATGATATCGCTATCACATGATTAAGATCATCCTATTACATATTTATCGCACAGTCAAAGTTTAATATATGTATTTATAGGATTAGAGAGAATAGATATAACACAGCACAAATTTGATAAGGTAATTTAAGTATGTCGCATGATTTAAGCTAATCATGTTAACTTTTTAATTGAAACACAGTTTCAATTGAATAATGTCACTATGTCTAAGTTTACAAAATTAAATCATTAATATGTACAATGTAATGGTGTTGAAGGGGGAGAAGGGGGGGGGGGTTGTAATGCTTGTTACACCTTGTTGAACCAGAAAAGGATCTTTGTATCGGCAGTCTTAAACGGTCAGCTGTCACAAGTGCTTCACCAAGAATCGTCTTCCTTATATTTCGAATTTGTGTTAACAAATGGAGTTTTACTAAATATCATATTTCCACAATTTTTGCTACAAGAGTTTTTTACAAAAATATAGTTCCTTAATCTTTTTTAGCACTGGGTTAACTACAAAGGATGAGACTTTAATTTAATGAAGACTTAAGACTCTTTTGATACAGTGGGATTTACAGATTGAATTTGCATTTCTTCCTTAGATAAATTAGACTAGATATAGCTCATGTCATCTTCACCAAACCAGACAACTGGAGTGGTTCAGCTGAGATTGAAAATAGTAATTTAGCTTAGTGCAAGCTACACACAATTTAGAATTACAAGATTCTGATCAATTAAATTTGGTTATTACAGATTGACCCCAACCTTTTTGTATGACAAGTTCTTGATGTACGAGGGACTGTACAATTTTTCTGCTTTACAATCTGGATAAACAATCAATTCTAATTTATCTAGGATTTCTGCCTTGAAAACAGTTTTAAAACTAATTTTAAAAGATTTTGGAAAGAAAAGTACAAAGCTTTAGGAAAACATATCAGAAGAAAAAGTAAAAAATTCTTTAAAGTTGTCTCTCAAGTAGCTTGTCCTTTGTGGCTAGCCCTGTAGAATTAAAAACAACAAAAGTATTACCATCATAATTTTGTGAAACGAAACTGTTTGTCAGGAGGCTGAAGAAGGGTTTTAAGCTAAACAAATCTGGAATTTATAGATGAATTTATTTATTCATTTAATATTTATTTTTGAGATGAAATATTTGAATGACTAGAATTTAATTTTAATGAATTATTAAAGGGAATGTCTGGACTCTGGCTAGACATGGTAGTTGAGCTGAGAGAGCATTATTGTACAGAACGTCTTTAGAAATCATTGGAGTATCAAGTGCAAAATCAATCTTAAAATTACTCCTGGGTTTGCAGTGAAAAAAAAAATCTTTTAAAATTTTGGGCATTTTTTCGCATTTCATTTGCTTTCGAAAAATGCGAAGTTTTGCTTCAATCTGTTTCGCGAAAAATGCAAAACTACATGCAACTGTCCTCAAATTGTGCTCAATTGTGCGAAATTGCGTGGAGTTTACAGGGCTCCCAATTGTGCGCAAGTAAAATCCAGTCCTCTTGCATTGAAAACCTATAGTTCTAAGTGACAAATGGACTTGGAACAGTTCCATAAAAAAAATTTTTTTTTTGCTACTCTTGTACAATCTTAACACAATCTCTTAGTTCACTGACATATATTAGAAATTGGCGATTGTGTTTTTCTTGAGTAGAAAAAAATAAGGAAAAAAAGTTACCTGATTGAATCAGTATCAAAATATACACCTCCATTTCTGTAAACTATCTAGATAAACCAGAAACATTACCTTCAAACATGAATTTGAATCTTAAATTAATTTCTGATTTTTTTATATATTTTCTTGTCTATGTCAATCAATGAATTCTGCAAGATCAAATAATCTAAGTTTAAGATATTAAGGGTTTTGATTATTAGGTTGAAAGCTATAATGATAGGACAAATTTGAGTTTGTGACAAAGACCTTATTCCTTTGAAATCAAGGTATCAATCATAACCATCTGATTAAAGTCTGAATAATTTACTTCTTTTTATGATTTCTTATAACTTTTTGGCAATTAAACATTTATATTTTTATTTTAACTTGACTTGATAAAAACTTTCTAAAATAGTTTTAGTTCAATGAACACATTTCAATCATTTCAGAATACCTAGAGTACTTGTAAAATATGCCTTGATCTAAATGCTTCTATGATAAATATGGTTTTACTTTATCTGTGCAGGGTAATTAAAAATGCACATATTTGGAAACTGATGCAAATATTTGTCAAAAATAAGAATATAGAATTTTTACACTTTTCTGATTTACTTTTTGGAGAGTTTTTAAACACTCCCAGCACAATCCAAAGTGAATAAATTCTAAAGTGGAACAGACTAAGGCAACGACGACAGGTTGGGCCATAAGGTTTTATTTGGTTTGGAAATAATTGCATGAAAAGATTTCTTTTTGAAAGTAAATGCTAGAAAAAAGGACCCATGTAAATGTCGTCTTCAGCTAGAACTTCAAAATTTTCTCTGTCAAAAATAAACTTTTTTTGTATGCTTGTATGTGTTTTATATGCAAATACTATATAGTAGCTTAATAAATTCATTGATTTTGCCTGGCAGGCTTGCATTTCTAATTCTATAAGAATTTATCTTTAAAACTGCTTAGTTTTGTTTTGCCCCCCCCCCTCCCCCCTATTAAGAAAAAGAAATGTAAGCCCTTCCTGGGGGAAAAAAATCTGAATACGCCTCTCTTAATATCTTTAAAGCAATGTCTAGTTCTTAACTACTCTTAAATCTGTCAAAATACAAAAGTGGAAACCAAGAGATATATTTTGAAGATCTTTTTTTTTCGATATCACAAATTCTGAATTTCTTGTTTTACAGATTATGCATGCAGGCATTATTGTGCTGTCTGAAATTATTTATTGTTCAGTAAAATGGCTAAAATTCACTTCTAAAATCTTAATTTACGTTAATCTATATTTAAGTTAAATACAAATTCTAAGTCTGTGTTTTTAAACAAAGGGAGTCCAGTTTCTGTTGTATACTGTGCGGAGTGTACAGACCAATCTATATATATATATATTATTTCTAAATACTTGTGACATAAAATGTCGTCATCCATCTATGAGTTTGGCCCACTTTAGTATTTAAACACTTTGAGCACAATCAGCACATTAAACGTGCATGCTCTCACGCTAAAGTCTATCAGTATTTTTCAGATAACCATTAACTAGAAACAAGCTGATTATAAAAGAAAATATTGGGTTAGAAAGTATTGGTTATAACTAATTTTTTAAAAGTAATGTACTATTTAAGCTAGTTTGGTCAAAAACGTCCCAAGCAGGTCTGCCGCTTTAGTAATTGTAAATTGGCGGTACAGTCCAAACTAGGACCCAGCTTGGATATTCTAATGTACAACTAGCTAAAAAAGTTGCTAAATAAGTAAGCCTTTAAAAGTTCAAAAAAAATTGAAATAACAAAATTTACCTCATAGCGAAGAATGTCAGATTTCCCCCCAATATTTTCCTCTTGGTCAAACAAATCCTTCAGGCTATAATCTTTCATCTCTCTAAATGTTCAAAATGAAGAAAATACATTTAAACAAAAAATCCAACCAAAGCCGAGTTTCATGCATAACCAATTTAATGATAGTTGTAACTTAATTGTAATTCAAGTTCAATTTCAGTGATTTTATAAGTATTTTTGTATTTGATTTTCAACAAATTGTTAACAATTAAACTTTATGTATTGTAAGGAATACATCTATATCGACAGGGGGGTATATTTCTAGAAAAATGGCCCCCCCTATTAATTGAAAATCAGCCTTTTCCCCAGATTTTTTTGTTTGAAAAAGTAGGAAAAAGGGGTGTACAGGTACTTGTTAAAATCCTACTTCTCTGCATACAGGTTTTGGACCTTTTAAAGTCTTGGTTTAGATGTATTTTGCCTACTTTTGAAATTTACTATTTAACACTATTATTAATTACTGGTTGTTTTAAATACCTATCTACATCTTCTAAAATGACTCCAGTTAAATTATAACCATTTGTTATAATTTGAGTCCAGAGATAAACCTAAATATAAGTAAAGATGTGTTACTGAAATTAAAAGGACTGACCCTCTATGCAAATAGGGATGTTAACGTTTTCATTTTTCAGAAAAACGATCGTTTTGTTATGATAACGACGACGAAAAATCGAAAACGAAACGATCGTTTTTAAAAATGATCGTTTTTTAAAAAGTTCGTTTTTTAAAAAATGGTCGTTTTTAAAACGATCGTTTTTTTAACGATAGTTAACGACGGACCTTCGTTAACGATCGTTAACGACAACCTTCGTTAACGATCGTTAACGACGACCCTTTGTTAACGATCGTTAACGACGACCCTTCGTTAACGATCGTTAACGACTACCCCTTTGTTAACGATCGTTAACAAAGAGAGGAAACCGACCTGAAGAGCATCTGTACTTATCATTGAGTAGTTTTTAATAAAATATCAAGGAGTTTTAACTCCCTCACAACTGTAAACTTCATGTAAGACGACATTCAATAAAGTTGCATGTAATTTTTTTTCCAAAAACAACCGTTTTGATAAAGTTCGTCGTTTCGTTAACGATCGTTAACGACAAACCTTCGTTAATGATCGTTAACGACGACCTTTCATTAAAGATCGTTAACGACGACCCTTCGTTAACGATCGTTAACATAATTGTCAATAAAAAAAAATTTCAAAAAATTTTAAAAACAATTGTATAAAAAACGATCGCAAATCGTTTTAATAAAAACGATCGTTTTCAAAAACGATCGCTATTCGTTTTCTAAAAGTTCTAAAACGATCGTTTTTTTCTGAAAACGAAACAATCGTTTTTGAAAACGATTAACAACCCTATATGCAAATATGCCAATGTCCGATTCACTTTTATGATCTCATCAAAATATTTTAAAGATAGTTTTGTTTTCTAGGTTTAAAAGCAAGGGGTATGATAGTTCTCTACCTGTGTGCTCAGTTAGCTGTACTGTGCACTAACCATAGATAAATAAATAAACATAGAAAGCTTATGTATGCAAAATCACCAAGAATTGTGCAGTCCGGGAACTCATACTTCTAGGGGTCAAAGTGTACTTCAATGATAAGCGGGGCGGTTTGGTGTTTGAATGGATCTCGTAATATAGTGTAAAATAACTCAGTGAACGGAACTATTTGAACAACAATATTTCACGGAGCAATATATCATATTGATGAGAACTGAAGAAGGACATGAGAAGGACTAAATTAACATAAATTTCTCTCTACAGAACTCATGTACACCACAAGTACTCAATGACATAAGAACAGCCAATGTTTACAATTGTGCTCTTTTTTTTCTATATAATTGGAATATCTTTAAAACATCTCTGTACATTTATATCTTTCAAGATGAAAAATGTCGTCTTATGTGCAATCAATCTTTATCTATTGCACTTACATTATAACTGTTTACTAATATGGATATACTATATGTTAGGCCAGAATCAACTTAATCAATAAATATGCAGTTCGCTTCTGGTATAGTTAATGGCCTATACAATTAGTAAAGGATTAAAGTACCTCATCACTCTATACACTATAACTTTGTTGTTTAAAAGTATTTAATTCTTAGAATTCCTAAAATATTTTAATATTTTTATATTACCTTATAATCTGGATTGTTCTTCACAAAAGTAAGAATATTTTTCTGATATTTCTCCGGAATTATATTTCCCAACCAAACAAAATGTAGTTTTCTAGACAATAAATTCATGTTTTAAGTTATTGTTAATCCCTCAACATGAATGGTGAATAATTATAACTATTAATTACTACTTAACCAGGAGATTAAGGGAGGATAATTAAATTGAGGGGAAAACCACTTAGCCGAGGGCCTCCAAGACCTTTTTGGGGTTCTAAACCTCATGAAAACTCCCGGTTAAGTAGTAATTTATCGTTTAATCTCCTGTTCAACGAAATAGCCAACCGTGGGGGATAAAATAATAATAAAATCAATAAAACTATTAATTATGATTTTAATTCTCTTATTTCTTACTAAAGCATATGGAAGAATATTTAATTTCTTGATCTAAATCTTGAATTAAATCTGTATGGATCACAGAGGGAGGATAAGTAATTATCCTCCCTGTAAATAGGGAGGATAAGTAATTATCCTCCCTGTAAATAGGGAGGATAAGTAATTATCCTCCCTGTAAATAGGGAGGATAAGTAATTATCCTCCCTGTAAATAGGGAGGATAAGTAATTATCCTCCCTGGAATTAATAAAGGAGGGAATTTAAGGTTTGTTATTTCGTTGAACAGGAGATTAATGTTTAATAATTAAACTATTAAAATAAATTTATGTTTTGAAGTTGTTGTTAATCACTCAACATAAATGTTGGATAATTAAACTGTTAAATAAATTCATGTTTTGAAGTTGTTGTTAATCACTCAAGGTTATAAGGATGATAGGATAGTAGGACAGGAGTAGGATTAGGATTAGGATTAGGATTAAGACAAAGGATTGGTAGGTGAAAAAGGTGAGGACGAGTACCTACATGAGGACCACCCAAGAGCTTACCATCTGGCTGGGGTACCCATTTGAGGGGGGGAGGGGGGGGAAACCTGTGCAGGGTTTTTTTTCATGCTGAGCACGTTCAGATTGCTAGCGCTTGGCTTGTTTCTGATACGACATGGGCGGCTGCGATCGCTTAGAGGAACCTGAGGGCTTCAGGTCCTCAAAACCACAGTACTCTCGGTGAGCCTCAACCCATCGGGAGAAACTAATGCCGCATGGAATAGAGGGACCCAGGGTTGGTTTGGGCATGTCCATTACCGACCCAAAGAAGTGCACGCACTTCTGGACCATTGACCGGACCACTTGGACTCCCTTATCAGACCGGGGTTCAGGACAAGTATAAGTTGACACGGGTAATGGCTTAGCTTTGCCATCTTCAATCCCCCCATCCCTGCCCATGACATTAGACTCCCTCTCAACACAAGTATCCCCTGCACAGGCCCCAACCCCCACCCCGCTTACCTTACTGGGGTTATCCAAACCGTCCAGCATCCCCTGGAAGTCGGACATATAAGCCTCTATTCCTGCCTCCTCCACCTCCATAGGAACAGTATTGGTATTATCGGACATTTCTCTGAAAAATAACATTATGGTAAATTTGTACTTCACAACATTGATAAAAGCATTTGCATTGGTATCCTGTACGGATCCATATTCACCGCATTCTCTTTGAATTACGATGTATTTTTCTTTCATTTTCAAAACGTATGTTTTTGAAAAAAAGTTTTCAAATTTATTAAAAATATCCTTAAAGGATTTACTTTTCTTGCGTTCCAGTAAGGACGCTACGTTCTGGTTCATGTTGTCCAAAATTAGGACGAAAATTGGCTTCCGATTAAAAGTTATATTTTTGTAAATAACGTAAAGATGTATTGCAATTGTTGCACAGCTCCGATGTATATTTCGGTTTAAGTAGCCCGATTCGTCAGAATCATCCTTGTAGGATGGACTCTAAGGAATCTCAATTTAAAGACTATTGGTTGCTTAATTTTGATTTTGATTTTTATATAAAGCACGCAAGGATTACACTGTCACTTGGAAATATTTTCCTTATTGAGTTTAACACAAAATGGCGGAATAACCATGAGTAGCACAGTCATGGTTTGGTATGGCAAAATTCGGGAGGTTGCAATTATTATTGTCGTCTGCACGGTATTAATAAAGTTGTTGCTTTATGTTGCAAGAAAAAATAGTTTTGATTCAATTTCCGTATTCGACAAATAAGGGTTTGTTAATCCTAGAAGTGTGGTAAAAAATGAATTGCTTTAATTTGGAAGTATTGTATATTCGTCTATTATTCCTTGTAGAAAATATAAAGTACATGACTATGAAGCAAATAATGTTGGTGGTTTCGATATTATAGGATATTGGATTGCTACAGCCTAAAAAAATTATAATTTTTAGTTCTTCATAAGATAAGACTCCGTTTGATATTATCAGGTTTAAATCAGTTAGGATATCGTATATTTTTGGACAGTCCCAGAAAACATGAGAGATAGTTTCTCTCGGAGCAGGTCTAATTTTTCCAAATTCACACCGTTGACATGACGGGTCGTGATCCGGACCAAAATGCGCAATCATTGCATTGTGGTAAAGAGTCTGAGATGTGAAATTGAAAATAAAGCTCCGTAGGTTATTTTTCAACTTTGAGATTTGGAAAATTTTATAAAAGTTGCAATCTCTCTCAGGATCTGCATTGTTGTAATTTGTTAGGGAGACGCGCTTATTTAAACCAGACGTCGGCTCAATCTCTGACTCAACATTATCCATGATCTTCCTTATCCTAACGCTGCCTTTAACTATATTCCTAAAGAAGGTAACAATAGGTGTGCAACCTTTGTCCTTATTCAGTGAAAATTTCCACTTCCCGCTTCTATGTACCGATTTTAGATAAAATAATTCTAATAAATTAGGTCGGAACCCCAGGTATACTGTTAGACTATTTTCTGAGAAAGTATCGCTGTTAAGTATGTCTACTAGGTTGACAAATCTTAGTTTTCTAACCAAAATTACTTCTTCGTGTGTAAGATTTTCTCTAAAATGATTTCTGTTTAATTTCTCACCAGACTCCAGTCTTGCAATGTCATTATCATATATTCTCATATCAAGGAAATTACCATTCGTCGACCAGAAAACATTACAGAATTTTCTAACGCAAACTGACAGTTCTCCACAAGGAGTGTTCGTTGCTATTGAGCTTTTAAAATGAAACGGAAAATCTTCAGATATTCTGAAACTCTGAATTTCTTTTGCCCAAAAATCGTCATTATTAATTGATTTCCTAAAAATCCCAACCCTGATCGCATTTATGTAAGATTCAATCCCGATCATTCCTAATCCTCCTTGATGTATTGCATTGTATACCGTGTTTATTGTTGTTTTCAAACTCCCTCGTACAAAGGAGCCAATCTCATTTCTGAGTGTTTGCAATTGAGTCTTACTAAATGTGACCACAGGGGCGAAAAACCCTATTTGTGAAAGGAGATATGTTTTTGCGATATTAATCCGACCAACAATCGAGAGTTTAAATTTTGTCCAGAATAACGACATTCCTCTAATTTTCACCATGAGCTTTATAAAATTAGTTTCCTCCAAATGAAAATTTTCACTTATATCCAACCCTAAGATTGTTAAATTTTGTACAATTGAAAAGCCAGTTTCAGCAATATTTTCAGCAAAATTAGGTGAGACATTAATTGGTAAAACCTGAGTTTTTTCTACATTTATTTTCAAGCCAGATAATTTAACAAAATCGTCAAGTATATTTTTAACATTCAAAATATTTTCAGGTTCGCCGTTTACGAGTATGGAGACGTCATCTGCATAACTACTGTCACTGATATGAGAGCCATTTTCAAAAACTGGATGAACAACACCTAGGTCCAGAGTCAGCTTCCAGAGCAGAGGTTCTAGTGCTAATATGAAGATCAGACCTGACGGTGAGTCGCCTTCCGCACAATATCTTGAAAAAATCAATAACACCAGACTCAGTTATAATGCCAGCAATTTTCTTTTTCATTGTGGTTCTGACTATTTTTATCATATAATGGGAATAGTTAAAAAATTTCAAAATTTCAAGAATATATTCGTGCGATACAGAATCAAAAGCTTTTTTGAAATCGATTGCCAATAGCGCTAGCCGCTTGTTCTCAAGTTTTCCTTTCTTAATGCATTGTAATATATTCATTAGAGGTTCATGTATGACCTTTGATTTTGAATAGGCTTTTTGTGAATCGGATGTGTTTGAGTCAATTACGCGTTTTAGCCTATTGGCAAATGCTTTTGAGAATACCTTATATACATTACTTAAAAGACTTTTTGGCCGCCAATTCTTAATTTGTTTACAATCTCCCTTCTTAGGAATAAGCTTAATACTTGCAGTTCTTAAATTAGGATACAGTTCTTCCTTTTCAACCATAATTTCAAACCCCTTAGTTACAGGATGTCCAATTAAAGGCCATAGAAACTTAAGTACAGCATAGGTGTATCCATCTAAACCAGGACTCGAACCTATCTTTGTTTCTCCCAGTGCTTTTGTAAGCTCATAATGTGTAATTGGAACATTGTCTCTCTCAGAGTCTAAATTAGATAATTTTTTTGATTGCACATACTCACTGTTCATAATTTCTGGAGTTCAAAATTGTTCAAGACTTCAGGTTTTTTCCGGAATTTTGCTATAAATGTTTTTAAAATAATTACATAAATCAGAATTTTGTTCGTCCTCACTTTCATAATCCACTATATTGCCCTGATTATCACATTTTTTAAGTTGATTTAAAGAATCATTACCCTTTTGTGCTTTAGCAAGTGTACAAAAAGATTTAGTTGGTTTCTCAAAGTTCATAGAATGCCAGAGCTTAGTTCTAGCGCAGTTTCGAAGATTTAACTCGTCATCGAAATCAAGAATTTTTTTTTCTAGATAAATTTGCTCTTGGTAAAGGATGTTTTCAGTATCTAAATTCATTTTCTGCAACTCTGACATTCTATTTCTCATGTCTTTTAATAAAATATTAGTGACCTTTTTATGTGCGCGCTGGTGTGACATTATACAATTATGAAGATTGTTCATTAAGGTCTCAAGAAATTTGTCATATTCAATTATGATTGGTCTATTTCGAACTATATCACTTATATCTAGAAAAGGGGCAATTATTTCATCTATTTCATGGCATTTTTTTTCAATTACAGAGGTTAGTAGTTTATCATTTGGGAAGTTATTAATTGATTTTTTAATAGAGATGATATCTGCAAGAAGAGACTGTGCGGAGGTGAGCTGTCTGTTAATCTCAACGATGAATTGAGGATCTACCAGAGGATCAAGATAATCACAGAAGGTTCCAAGAGTTTCAAGACACACAGCCTGCTTCAGGCCAGAAATGTTCAAGAGACTGGGATCGAGAAATGTTAGATTTCGTGGAGACTTCCTGGCAGGGACAAGGTGACCAGATTCAGTTTGCACTAAACCTGCGCTGCAACTCTTACATCAGAATTAATATTCAGAATTGTCGTATAGACCAGATTTTGTTTAAAGAGGATTATCTTCTCTATACGTAAAAACCTCTATATTTTTGTAACCAGAATTATTTCAGTGCATTCACTGATAGAGAAATACAGCTGTGCAATAAAGTTATACAAATCATTTATTTCAAGATAAGAAGACAGAAATAAATGATAACGACCTTTCCAAGGAGGTTGTGCAGGTTGACATCTCTAATGCTTCTATACTCCGAGCTCTCAGGACGCAGAGAGACGAAGTATGAAGGGGGGAGGAGGGGGAGAGAGGAACGCCCACTCTACCTCTACCAGCGATTCTAAATAATAGAATAAATATGAATTTGTTTGTTTCTTGTTAGAGAGTAATGGTTTTTGAATGGACCTGTATTTACTATCGAACTCAGCGCTATAAAACTTATAATAGTGAATAGAAATATAGACTTTCGAATATGTTTTCATGAGAAGATGAGCGAGTATATCAGATAATTGTATACCTGAATATTAATTCTGATGTAAGAGTTGCAGCGCAGGTTTAGTGCAAACTGAAGTATTTGAATCAGTTTTATTGTTGTACAGTATACACTGTACATATACCGGTTTACAATCAGGATTCTATGTATATAATTTATCCTTCTCCAGGGTCCCTGCAGTACAGTAAGGAGCGGGGGGGAGAGAGAATATTCACACATTATGTTCAATTTCTTCTGTATTGTACAGCTTGTACAACAATACTGTCCGTCCAACTACTACTTTCTCCTTCTACTTCCCTACTTCCTTGTCTACTAGCTGACCT